GCGAAAACAGAGAGCTCGTCGCACTTTACTATACTCAATACTCAATATTTGTCGCTGTTCATCTGGATATGAAGACAAAATTGTAGGACAGGAACACTTTAATTGTCCACTAATCTTCAGATTTCCTGCTATGTTTTAAAAAAAACTTTATTTGTGAAAACCTTTAGCGTGGCGGACAGCTGGCCGCCTTAGGCGGCTAGTTCTCAATAAATTCTAGAAAAGCAAAAACATAACAAACTCAACAAAAATTAGAATTGACTAATGTTAAATCTGTGCAGAAATCCTTAGAAAAGCAAAACTGAAACCGATTGATCTAGAAATATATAAATAGAGTTGTGCATTCTATACGAGTTGTCGTTTTAAGACAAATATTGACGAAACATTTTCCATCAACTTAATGCCCAATTCGTATTCGCCTTAACAGTCCACAGCATATAGTTTTGAATGTAGAAAATTGAAAATTTAGAGATGTGCTGCGTAGCCTTCATATTTAGCGTTATGTTTTGCGCACTTCTTATTCATTATGTATTAAAAAAATTTCTGTGCAAATATACTGTTATACTATAATATACAAATAAATATTACTTACACTGTTTAATTTTTGCATGTTTTTACTATAAACTATTAAAATACATTTATTCAACAATTATAGAGTTAACGTGATACAAAAATATTATTATCATTTATACTATCGATTTTGGTGCATAATATTTAAACTGAATAGATAAAGTGTTCCGTAATAACTACGATAATATAATTTTTTTTTCTATTCCTTATAACAATCGAAATAAAAAAGACATCCACTCTAATTTTCCCAAATGAATATTTAAGTAAAAAATAATATCTTTTAGGAATTCTGATCAATCACTTTTGCAGTCAATAAGATCAAAGGAAGAATTAAAATCTCTAGTGCCATTTGTTTTAAGATGAAGCTTAAAAGCGGTTTTCAGAGAAAGTTGAATGTATTCCAGATATATTAGACAAAGGCACTTTGGTCTGATGTTTACAATCCTTCTTTTGCTATACGTGACTCTTATAGTTACAGTCAAAGATTGTGAGTTATGTTTTTTCGTTCTCACTTCACAGTAATTACTTCCGATTCTAGATTTGTGTAGTTTGCTTCTTTTTTTACAAAGATTCTAGAAAAATTATCAACCCAGTATGCTAATCATGACAAGTTCAGATATTTTTGAAGAAACACAGATTGCAAAGTATACAAAATCTGAAATCGTTTGTGTAATCGTTATAGAAAAAAATTACATGGATAAAAAAATGGTACTGCTAAAAATTCTGATAACTTAATTACTTTTACATGAACCAAAATTTTTTTACGGTCTAGCTGTTGCATATTTTAATTTCAATTTTTACTCGCTTCAAGAGATGTCTGTTATATTGTCAAAATTCTTTATATATTGAATTTTGTAACAATTTAAAAACTCTCTAGCAGCCATTAAATCACTCAAACCACTATAAGTATAAAATCGGGACATTTCAGCATAGCAAACATCAGAAGAATTGAAATTATAATTAGAAGAATTAAAATTATTACTGTTAATTATTGCTTTAAGACTTAAGAGGACAGAATATCGTGAGAGAAAATCTTCATGGCAAATTCTGTTCAACCAATATTACTAAATTAAAGTTTAGAAGAAAGTGAATAAAGGAAAACCCAAAGCGAAACAATGTGTTTCAGACGCTGAAAAATTGTTTTCGAAATATCGAAAAGAAAACAACTTAGTGTTAATTATTGCTCTAAGACTTAAGAGGACAGAATATCGTGAGAGAAAATCTTCATGGCAAATTCTGTTCAACCAATATTACTAAATTAAAGTTTAGAAGAAAGTGAATAAAGGAAAACCCAAAGTGAAACAATGTGTTTCAGACGCTGAAAAATTGTTTTCGAAATATCGAAAAGAAAACAACTTAGTGTTAATTATTGCTCTAAGACTTAAGAGGACAGAATATCGTGAGAGAAAATCTTCATGGCAAATTCTGTTCAACCAATATTACTAAATTAAAGTTTAGAAGAAAGTGAATAAAGGAAAACCCAAAGTGAAACAATGTGTTTCAGACGCTGAAAAATTGTTTTCGAAATATCGAAAAGAAAACAACTTAGTGTTAATTATTGCTCTAAGACTTAAGAGGACAGAATATCGTGAGAGAAAATCTTCATGGCAAATTCTGTTCAACCAATATTACTAAATTAAAGTTTAGAAGAAAGTGAATAAAGGAAAACCCAAAGTGAAACAATGTGTTTCAGACGCTGAAAAATTGTTTTCGAAATATCGAAAAGAAAACAACTTAGTGTTAATTATTGCTCTAAGACTTAAGAGGACAGAATATCGTGAGAGAAAATCTTCATGGCAAATTCTGTTCAACCAATATTACTAAATTAAAGTTTAGAAGAAAGTGAATAAAGGAAAACCCAAAGTGAAACAATGTGTTTCAGACGCTGAAAAATTGTTTTCGAAATATCGAAAAGAAAACAACTTAGTGTTAATTATTGCTCTAAGACTTAAGAGGACAGAATATCGTGAGAGAAAATCTTCATGGCAAATTCTGTTCAACCAATATTACTAAATTAAAGTTTAGAAGAAAGTGAATAAAGGAAAACCCAAAGTGAAACAATGTGTTTCAGACGCTGAAAAATTGTTTTCGAAATATCGAAAAGAAAACAACTTAGTGTTAATTATTGCTCTAAGACTTAAGAGGACAGAATATCGTGAGAGAAAATCTTCATGGCAAATTCTGTTCAACCAATATTACTAAATTAAAGTTTAGAAGAAAGTGAATAAAGGAAAACCCAAAGTGAAACAATGTGTTTCAGACGCTGAAAAATTGTTTTCGAAATATCGAAAAGAAAACAACTTAGTGTTAATTATTGCTCTAAGACTTAAGAGGACAGAATATCGTGAGAGAAAATCTTCATGGCAAATTCTGTTCAACCAATATTACTAAATTAAAGTTTAGAAGAAAGTGAATAAAGGAAAACCCAAAGTGAAACAATGTGTTTCAGACGCTGAAAAATTGTTTTCGAAATATCGAAAAGAAAACAACTTAGTGTTAATTATTGCTCTAAGACTTAAGAGGACAGAATATCGTGAGAGAAAATCTTCATGGCAAATTCTGTTCAACCAATATTACTAAATTAAAGTTTAGAAGAAAGTGAATAAAGGAAAACCCAAAGTGAAACAATGTGTTTCAGACGCTGAAAAATTGTTTTCGAAATATCGAAAAGAAAACAACTTAGTGTTAATTATTGCTCTAAGACTTAAGAGGACAGAATATCGTGAGAGAAAATCTTCATGGCAAATTCTGTTCAACCAATATTACTAAATTAAAGTTTAGAAGAAAGTGAATAAAGGAAAACCCAAAGTGAAACAATGTGTTTCAGACGCTGAAAAATTGTTTTCGAAATATCGAAAAGAAAACAACTTAGTGTTAATTATTGCTCTAAGACTTAAGAGGACAGAATATCGTGAGAGAAAATCTTCATGGCAAATTCTGTTCAACCAATATTACTAAATTAAAGTTTAGAAGAAAGTGAATAAAGGAAAACCCAAAGTGAAACAATGTGTTTCAGACGCTGAAAAATTGTTTTCGAAATATCGAAAAGAAAACAACTTAGTGTTAATTATTGCTCTAAGACTTAAGAGGACAGAATATCGTGAGAGAAAATCTTCATGGCAAATTCTGTTCAACCAATATTACTAAATTAAAGTTTAGAAGAAAGTGAATAAAGGAAAACCCAAAGTGAAACAATGTGTTTCAGACGCTGAAAAATTGTTTTCGAAATATCGAAAAGAAAACAACTTAGTGTTAATTATTGCTCTAAGACTTAAGAGGACAGAATATCGTGAGAGAAAATCTTCATGGCAAATTCTGTTCAACCAATATTACTAAATTAAAGTTTAGAAGAAAGTGAATAAAGGAAAACCCAAAGTGAAACAATGTGTTTCAGACGCTGAAAAATTGTTTTCGAAATATCGAAAAGAAAACAACTTAGTGTTAATTATTGCTCTAAGACTTAAGAGGACAGAATATCGTGAGAGAAAATCTTCATGGCAAATTCTGTTCAACCAATATTACTAAATTAAAGTTTAGAAGAAAGTGAATAAAGGAAAACCCAAAGTGAAACAATGTGTTTCAGACGCTGAAAAATTGTTNAGGCAAACTCTTTAAAAATTTGATAAAAAACAATGGATACTCAACTGAAGTAATAAAATTCTATGTGAAATCATTGATTTAATTGTATGTTATTATAAATAAGTTTATTAAAAACTTCTTGGATAATTTATATAATTTCTACCATGTGCAAATGCATTTCGGGCAATTCCGTGGCTAAAAATATGCGCAAAATGGCGATTCATGTTTCTTTCTCTCTTTTTTTTCCCCTCTTAAATAAATGTGATTTTTCTAAAATCATTAAAATTGTATATTTGAATATCAACTTTATTAATTATGAACTTATCTAGTATAATATCACTTTGCGCATATCCATTTTCGAGCAAATCCTTGGTAACTAACAAATCCAACGCGCTTCAGTACTGTATTACACACACACATACATATATATATGCTGGTGTGTATAGATATAATAGATATGTGTTAAACAATACAGAACAATGAAAATATTTTAAGAAGGGCGCCGATAGGGAGGATTGCCATAGGCGCCATTTTCTCTAGATACGCCTCTGCTCGCCTCCGTGACTTTGGTTCACAGGTGCCCACTGGGTAACGCGAAATGAGCAACAATTCTGGCATAGGCAGAAAAATTCAAATTCAGTGCCTGCCATTGGAAGAAAAAAAATATTTCTATAATTAACTTCTCCGTCGCACCTCCAAATTCACATACGCGTTTTTCACTTACTGCAGTGTAAACGGCCCCATTGAAACGGACGTCACGTGAACAGTCACCTGTTCAAATGATTTATGATTTCATTTTTTAAGAAAGCTATAAGCAACTTCTCCGTATCGATATAAAGCTATCGATTAGAGAAGTTCCCAACAAAAAATGCGGGTCCGTTTAAGCGTCTTTTGAGTAGCGTTCTATCTTAATTAAACATTTTATGTTATCCGTCATGCATTAGTTATTTCAAGATGATACAGTTTTTGCTAATTTTGATTCAAACTTTATTCTGAAAGAATCTATACTGAATTAAAACGTCTTTTATCAAGTAAAAATTATGAGTAGCCAGTTTAGTGATCAGATGTGTGATCTTGTTTACAAGTGTTCCGAAAAGGAAAAAATTGTATTTCTTGAGACAAATTATGCCGGTATCAATGAAAAATCAGAAATTTTTTTATCCAATTCATTTGAAGTTATGAGTTTTAGCGATGGTGCCATTAGCTGCGAGAATTACTGTTACTCGGAATGTGATGAAAATCCAGTTGTAACCTCACAAATCATTAAAGAAATTCAATCTACGAGAGAAAAGTTAACTTTTGATTGGGTAAAGACAATGTCACGTGATGCTTTAAAATTTGAGTCCGATTCAAGCTTTGAGTGCAGTAATAACAGTAGCAGCGATAATTTGAAAACAGATTCAGAAACAGACTATTCATTTGAAATTGATCCAAATAATTCTATTGAAACATGTCCTGAAAGCAGAACTGATGCTGAAATCATCGAAAGATTGGAAGATTCTAAAGATAGTGATTTATCAGAACTCACATTTTGCTTTGCGGATGCTGTTACAGAAGAAAATTATGATAGTGGTTTTTCCTTCTCAACCAAAGGTTCCCTTGCAAATTTTACTGATGATGATTTCTTAGAAGATGATGATGGTTTTGAACTTGTGTTTTCTAATTCTCCTTTATCTGGTGTCAATTTACCTGGTTGGACTGATATTATGAGTGAAGCATCTGAATTATCTCAAAGCTTTGACAATGAAATATTTGTTGATTTCTTTGAATCGCCTGCAAAGTCTAAAGTCAAAAGAGTTAATGAAAGATGGGAGAAAGACATGTGTGATGTTAATGACAAACCAAGAGATCCTGTCAAAGTTTGTATTCTACTGTTTATTTCCTCGTTTATTACTAAGCAATTTCAGAAAACCGTAAAAGCTTATTACTGTAGTACTAGTATTTCTTTTTATCAAAATTCAACTTCACTGGGGGAGGATTTTTTTATATTAATACCTGTGTCAAGGATCAGGGGTCTGTGCAGGCCAAATTTACTAGCGTTTAGCGGTACCTTCACAAATTCAACTTCAGGAAAAACGGTATATTTATTTATTTTTGTATCCCGTCAAAAACTACAAACCCATGTTTTTACATAATTTTTACAAATTATGTCTTCTAAATTTTCACAATATTGGTACCTCACAGAAAACCCTAGACAGAACCCTGGAAATATACTCAAAGGGAGTAACTATTATCCACACCTTTGAAAAAAAATATAAAAATTTTTTTTTAATTTTGAGAAAACTTTTATTATGGTTAGTGCAAATAGTACCCATAGAAATATTCTTATCACTGGTATCTATAATATGGCGCCTTTTTACAGCCCCCAAAACAGAGTATGAATGTAAACAAAAACAAGCTTCCTAAATCCACGAGAAATTTAGAAAACTTCTAGTGTATCATTCCGAGGGTGTATGAGGTGATGTTTGAACAGCTTAATATCCTTGAAAGTTTACAGCTTAGTATTCTGAAATGATTTTTTATTCTAAAATAGTACCATTTGTTTTATTTCGGGTTAACATAATGGCAAGTTTAAAAAGTCTCCTTAAATAAACAAAGCAAGTCACCTTAAATAAGCATTTTTTTTTTTTTTTGAAGTTGCAATTTTTTATTTAAACTCTTATATGTAAAAGTTTTTATTTTTCCAATTCTGTTGAGTACCACATTTTAAAATAAGAAAAATGTTAATATTGGAAGTTTATTAGAATTTACTTACTGTAATAGTTGAATAATTTCTTCTTGATGCAATTAATACTTTAATGCGGAATAACTTTCTCTTTGCACCAAGGATTTTTAAGTACATTTTTTTTTCTTGCCTAGTTTTGTAAATGATCTAGTGTTTGTTTTACTTGTCATTGTAAAGATGTAAGAGGAATGATGAGTTTGAAGTGAGAGCTGAGAAATAATGTGTGAATAATTTTCAATTAACAAGCAAGATTGTATTGGAAATGGATATTTCACCTTGTGATGATGAATTTGGCAAAAATTTATTAATGTGACTAGATAATGTGTAAAAACAATAATGATTTTGTAACGTATAACTTTTTATATTTCATGATACTATTTGTTTTGGATAATGTTTTCCACACTAGGGAGCTGTGCAGGTCTTTGCTGGTTATAATTCCAGGTTACTGTTTACAGAGTGTTTTGGTTTCATTTGGCTCACGATGTGTTCATTGTTTTTTGAGTAGGGTTTATGGTATATGTAGTATTTGTTACCTGATTTATTATTTGTGTTTACAATGAGTTCTAAGTCTAAAACTCTAAGTGGCTTTTACTGTGTAGTTTAACATTTGAAAAAAGAATCATTATAAAAGACTTATTATGTTGTCAATAGTGTACCAGCTTCAAAGTTGAAACCAAAATAATAATTTATAAAATGAGCATGTAAAAATGAATGGAATGTCGAAGCTCGAACAATGTGCTAACATATGATGGTGAACATGCAACAAGAACAAACAGTTAATAAACAAGTAAAAAGAATCCGAATCAAGACTACCAAAGACGCGTCATCTACCATGTCATCTTTTTTAGCAATATATCTTTAAATAACTAAAATAAATTTTGACTTCAAGCTCACCAGAATTATTTGATATTAGTGGACTGTGCCCCCTGCTCGCAAACGCTCACCAACCCCCCAAAGTTGCTATGCAATCTTATATGGTTTGCTTCGCAAACCAAGCTCACTTCGCTAGCTACTGACTTACGTACATTGCAAATGCACAAAATTCCAAGAATTCAAAACAATCATTCAAATCCGTATAACAACTTATTTTTTTTTTTTTTTTAAATTACATCTTTTTAGTAAATACTAAGTCATTAAAATAAATTTGAATTCAAATAAATGACATGTAATTCGTTAAACCTATTAGAAATGTGCTATAGTATAATTCGTGATATAAATCAAAAATCGTCAAATAAATTCGTAATATATAAATTCGTGAAAAAAAGCGCTTTCGACAAAATACTAAAATAGAGATCTATCGACAAAGACTACTCACTTCTGCCTAGCTTAATAGTATGAGATTGCCGCAGCTGATGCTCTCTGGTTATTTCAGTTTCCGTTTTTAAAAGCGCTATATGTTGAGCCACCTCAGCTAGATTTAGCATGTGACATTTTTAACGGCAATCATTGGTCGATTTTCTAGCGTTGAAATGAGGCTTTTTTTCCACCGTGTAAGATAAATATATATATCTTATGAAATACAGCAGGTTCAAGCTCAGGAATTATAATAATTAACTTTTTATTTTTATTGAATACAAATTTTCTGATTTTAAATCCTATTTGTTATCTAAGAGTACTTGACTATCTTGTTAGTTATACATTTACTTGTAACTGTCTTATGAATTATTTATTTACTTTTTTTCAGGTCACTTTTGCACCTTTACCTGACCTAGTTACTGTTCACTGTTTCCAAAAACCCCTTGAAGAAAACCAGCCATCATATGATACCTCTGCCCTCGATCGGATACGTTTTCAAAATCGCATTGAAGAATTGAGTAGATTACTAACTCCGATTCTCACACTGGAACATCGAACAAATATTATCTTACGGAATTCTCTTTTTATTACTCATGATTAAATTACAATTTTGTTACTGTTTCAGAGTTCATTGTTTATATTGGTGCTAACCATTGTTTATATCGGTGACATAGCTGCCAACTCTACTGGATTTTTCAATAGGCTACTGGGTTTTACCAGTTTCTCCTGGTCTACTGGTTTATTAAAAATTCTCCTGTTTTTTTGTGCATTTTAGAAAACTTCCTAAGATTGAGTAAGTTTTGTTTAAAAAAATCCCTATTGCTTGCTTGAATGAAGTGTCACTAATACATAATAAAGCGAGGCTCATTTACAAAATTTAGTTAACTATCTTTGAATTAAATTACTATTCAAAATTATGAATAAACAAAACATTTCAAGATCATTTAATGTGAAATCTTAACTGGAAAATATTGCAGTTTTTCTATTTTGATTACTATTAAAATCCCTGAAATTCCCTATGTGTAAAATATTTAGTATATTTTGAAACAATTATCATGAAATTTACATTATTTCAGGAAATCTACTGGATATCTTTCTATCTGTGTTTGCAGCTATGCACTGTATTCAAAAAGTTTCATTAATCATGTTGATAGAGCATATTCTTTTATAAATTTACTAGGGATGTAGCGAATATTCAGCCGAATAATGAAGTATATGTTATTATTAATTATGCTGCTATTATTAATTATTTAGATTTGTGAAAGCCTTATTGTTGGCATCAAGATAATTAAAATATTACAAAAAGTACATCAAATTGTTAAATTTTTTTAAAATATAGAAAGTTTAAAAAAGAAAATTTGTTAATATTTATTTTATTTATAATTTAAAATTTGAAAATTATTTAATTACAAGATTAAAATTTCAAAAGCGAAACTTTTTAAGAAGTTCTTTATTTTCTGAGTTTTAATAATTTTTCTGACAAAAAAGAAAGTTAAGAATTCATTTAACAGTAGTAAGTAATGGGTTCTTATCTTAAATAAAATAGCATATAAATTACAAGTATAACTATAACTAAAATATGCTATTATTAATTATTTAGATTTATAAAAGCCATATTGCCTTGTTTTTGGCATCAAGATATTTAAATTATTACAAAAAATAAATCAAGTTGTTAAAAAAAAATTTAGATATACAAAGATTAAAAAAGCAATTTTGTTAATATTTATTTCATTTTTAATTTAAAATTTGAAAATTACTTTAATTAACATCAAAAGAGAATTTTTTTTTTTTAAAAGTAAGTATTTGGACACCGAATATTCGGCCCCATCACTATTCGTAACATCACTAAAATTTACCTCTCGCTGTAACTAACGCTAAGATTTTGGGGACGTATAATTCTTAACAAAAAAAATAAATTTACGTAAAAAAAATCTTAAAATTGAACATGATTTCATTTTATGTAACATCTGTATAATATTTAAAAACAAAATTATATGAATGTTGAGATGTAATTTTCATTCAGGTATGAAAGGAGTGTTAAATTATAAATTAACTAAAAAAGATAAAAAATAAAACACAATTTTATTTTTTGTGATACATACATTGCTTCTGTCCAGTAGCAATAAAATGAAATTATTGAAGCGTGAAAAAGATACCCTAAATTAAAATACTGAAATTTCAAGATAATGTCCCAAAAGAGTAAGATAGAATTTCAATCAAAATCTGGGCCTTAGTGATATTCAATTTTTTACCTCATAAATTACTGATTCATTGTGTATTTTTATATTGAATGAGATTATTTTTGGATGTGTTTTAATATCCTGTTCTCAGAATTTTTGAAAACTACTAAAATTGGATGTGGTATAGCAACTTTTTATTATTTGTTAACATGCTATTTAATAAATTGGAATTGATAGAAATATTTGGCTTTTTTATGATTGTAAAATAGCCTTTACTTTCTTAGTTTTCAAGAACAATATTATTCCTCAAATTATACTCATTTTATAGTACATGCATAAAAGTAAATTTGAACTATTATTATGTGCAACCTTGCAAAAGTAAGATGAAGTGTAAAAATACATGTTTATATAGTCTGGAGGAAAGTTCATTACATCTATTAGTGTTTAATAGAAGAAATTTAGACTTGTGAATTCTTAAGCATTATAAAATAATAAATTTTTGTAATGTCTTATATTAAATATTTTTTATGTCCTGATAAAAGCCTATTCGTGTACTATTTGTCATCTTTATTTAATTACTTTTTATGCTTATGTAATTTTAGCACTTCATATTAATCTATTTATTTTTCATCAATAGCAATTTAGTTTTATTGCAGTTTGCTATTCTCATTGACTATATTCCTTTTTAAGTCTACAACATTTGTTTGCATAATTTCATTGCTGTGTGGAAAAAAAAAATTCTTTGTTTTCAATAACATACCAACTCTACTAGATTTTCTACTAGAGTAATGAATTTTGCTAGTTTCTACTGATTTAATCAAAAGTTCATCTGGCTTTTATCAGAAAATTTCTTAAAATTTGAAAAAGAATCCCTACTTTAAATTGTTTGCTTAAGTATTTAAATAATTATTATTGCTAAATAATGAAGTAAGCCATATTTAAGATAAACAGTTATGAGCTTTGCTTTTTTTACGGTGCTCTTAAAATTTCATTTTTTGCAACTCTCCAATTTTTAATTAATTGAACCAGAGCTCATTCTAGGCAGGGTAACAGGGCACAGCACCCTGTTGCCCTTTTTGTCAAAAGAATTCACCCTGTTGTCCCTGAAGTAAAATAGTGCCCTGATGTAATAGACTCCATACCCTTTTTGCCCTTTCTTTCCTCAACCCTTCTTTATTTCCCTCCCAAACTCTACAATGGATTTCTTAAACTTTTGTTATTTTCAACTCTTTTTATTCAGTTTGTTGTTGATGCCAATACATAGATTAATATGGGAAAGGTAAAATAGCCATCACACCCCCTTGTTGCACTTGTCTTTGAAAGTTTGCAGTTACTTCCACTATCATTAAATCATAATTATTATTAATCATTTTAATTATTAAATCACAACTACAGACACTTAAAAACATACATTTATTATTTTATTAATATATGCATGCATTTTAAATAAATTACTAAGCTGATTAGTTCATTAACTCGGTATACATGTTAATTTATTAATAAAAATTAGTAATTAATATGATTGCTTTGCAACTTTTATTAAAGCAAAAAAAAATTTCTTTTACTAATTGACAACACTTTTTAATAGAATGTGTAAAGCCCATAGAAAGAAATTATTGCCTTTTTAGAATAATAATGCCCTTTTTTTAAACTTTTGCACCCTGCCCTTTTTTCTGCCTAGAATGAGCTCTGATTGAACAATATATTATAACAATCCAAAATGATTTCATTATCTATTGTTATTGAAATTTATGAATTTGAAAAATAACTGTAAAATGATTGAAACTATATTTTCAAGTGACTCATCATAAAATCACTAGTGGCCTTAAGTATTAAGAACATTTTTTTTAACATTGTAGGATAAGTTTTATCTAACCGTGTGAAATTGGAAGAAAAAAAAGTTGGTGCACAACCAGAGTTTAGATGTAACCATGCCTCCTAACCAAAAAAAAAAGAAAAATAACAGTAATTTGACGATCCATATGTTGAGGGTTTTTTTTTTTTTTTTTTTTTTAAACTAAATAAAGAAATATCTCAAAATGAAGCATGCAAATCTTAAATTTTTGAAGATTGAAAATTTTAAAAGGTTATCTTAAATGTTATTACTTTGCAAAGTTTTCAAAATATTTTTTTTGGTTCAGTTGTATTATTGAATTAAAATAACACAATTTATGCACGATCTAAAAGGTCTCTGAATACTTTCGAATAATGAATTAACAATTAAAGTGTTTTGAATAATGTTCATTTTTAAAGTAATATCATTTAACTCTGTCGCTCTGTTCTAAAAGGTATCTGAATACTTTCGAATAATGAATTAACTAAAGTGTTTTGAGTAATGTTCATTTTTAAAGTAATATCATTTAACTCTGTTCCGAGTAAGGTTACTAATCCCAGTATAATGAAATTGAATAATATTTTCCTGATGTCCCAAAGATGATCCACAATTTGAAAACTCAATTATATAAAAGCAGTGAAATATGGAAATGTATTGCTTTCTCTGCTTAGGAGATCAGGGAATCTATTGTTACGAAGTTTCAAAATTTGTTAACAGGTATCACTGTTGACTTGGAAAGAAAAACTGTAAAAGAATGTTTTTGAAATAACTACCATGTGCTGCAACAGCATGGTGCAGATTGAGGGCAAAATTTATGGATGCTCAGGCAAATATTTCAATTGTATGGTCTGGCATAAAACAAAAAAAACTTTGTTTTAAACTCCATCTGTTGAGTGATTAATTGTTTCTTAAAACATCGGTATATAATTTATTTGGGTTTTAAAGATTGTTTACTCCTGAATTTTTAATTTAGATGTTGGATGAATAATTTTCAAAAATTTGTGCATTTTCTTAAAATATTTATATTCCATTTAATTGTTTTCTATTTTTAAAGTTTAACAAAACTCTGTGCCTTGAAAATGCCTTATCTTTACAGAAGAATAAAAACAGATTAGGATTTTTTTTTTTTTTTTNTTGATTTTTTTTTTGTGAAATAGCAGTTTCAAACAAATAAGATGCTATTTTTGTGATGCGTACCTAACAATTAACTATAATTGTTAGGTTAAATTTTGTCTACTTGTAGCCATTATTCTCTATACTGATAGTAAAAAATATCTAAAATGTTTAGTTTTTGGGTTTTTTTTTTAGATAATGATTTTTTTTATAAGTTACTGCATTATTTGGGATAAAAAGAATGTGTCCGAAATTGAGATCCAAATAAATTTGCTGCATTGTTAATTTTTCAAAAGAAGAAGTTTAATAATTTCTTATTTAAAGTTATCTGCACGCACACAACAAATTATTCCCCAGAAATATTTAAAAAGCTGAAGATTAATTTTAACGTATATTTTATAGAAAATAGAGTATATTTACTGAATTCATTTTATTTAGACCCTAAAGCTTTAGGTGCTTTAAAAAATACTCTAAATTCCCTTTGAACATTTAAT